AAATCGAATTTCATAACCCACTGTTGTTCCAAGATTACACTAAATAAATTAAAAACTTCTTGATGGATTTATTTATCAGTTACTAATAAATATTAAAAATTTTATTTGCATCCATTTCTTCACTACACGTTTAGCAACCAGCACATGTCAAGGTTGTGTACATCCAATAATCCCATACTTGCTATAACCATTTTCATAAAGATATTATGTAAGATGCGTGGTTTTACCTGAATTTGTTTCTCCAACAATAATAAATAGATTAATCTTAGAAATTAAGGTATGTTACTATTTTTTATTTATTTATATGATTTGTCTATTTGTTTATATGCCCATCTAATAATTTTTAAAAGTTCTTCATGAGATGCAAAAGCTGGTAAAATTCTCTCTATTTTTGATCTTGCTTTCAAATGTGATGCAAATTGAGAATCACCCAATTTCATTATTTTGTGCTATTTAAAAATTTTTTTTTTAATATTAATATATTATCCTATATTACAAGTAATAAATGTTGCACTACGTTCAAATTAATAATAACAACAACTAAATTTTCTCCATTTTCACTCTTTTTTTTAAAATATATATATATATATATTATAAGTTTTTTTTTAATTATAAAAAGCAATGGCCTGTTGTCAAGCTTTTCAAAAGCGTGCTAGATTAGCATGTTTAAAATTAAGACCAACATGCTCAACTTTATGTTTGCCCTCCATAACAAAACTGTTATGTTACTTTACCATTATACCCCTTATATTTTTTTTTTACTACTCAATTTTAGAAAAGTATTTTGATAAATTATCACTTACTACTGAACCTCCTTACCATCAATATACTACAGGTTTGTTATTTTTACTTTTAATCTATCTATATACATACATGCATATTTAATTTTAACTTAATGATAACTAGAACCAGATGATTTGAGCGAGCATATTCACAATTATTAGACTTAAACTCTAGATGGAAACCTAGTCTACCCTCAAATTTAACTGTAGTTTCTATAATTAAAAATAATGACAATGTTGAATTACAATTGAACTCTATATTTAGTCAAACAATTATGCCACAAGGCATGATTATAATTGCCTCCAAAAATACAGCTAAAAAAGTCAAACATGTCATTAAAGAGAATGATAAATACAGTGGTTTTGATGTATGGATACATGTTATGGAAACAAACAAATTTAGAATCATTGGTTGGTTAGAAGCAGTGTTGTGCCATTTATGGTTCCAATAAAATTTCATTAGAGCATTCTAATAAATTCCAATTGGAATTGGAACATTCCAAATGTGGTTCCAATGAAGTTAACCAATGAAATTCAATTATAGTGTCATACACACGAATTTTATTGGTTAATATCAATTGAAGATCTACATTGGAACATTCCAATAGCACAACACTGCCAATAATAATGAGAATCACGAAAATTTGATAATAATTCTTCGACTTCATCATCTACACCTGATTCTGTTATATCAAACGATTTTATCTCACAACCTCCACTGATCGGGTAGAAATCCAACAATTCATAGATAGTGTTAAGAACAAGCCTATCTATGAAAAAAATCAGAAACTACTTGATTATTTATTACCAAAAACTAAGGTTTGTATATATATTTATAAAATTTAAAATTTGACTTGACTCAATCTATTGGGAATAACACTAGTCCATTTATTTATTCATCCATTTATTTATAATTATTCATAATTCTTTATTTACACAATTCTTTATATTATTTCCTTTTGCAGAGAATTAATTGAATGGTGTAGAACAAACAATTTTCACATGCTCATTCTGGTGATTCAGATTTTTAACCTAATTGGAAGATTCTTAGTTAAATAATTTATTTGATTACCTTTAAATTTTATCAGGATTTAATTGATAAAGAATTTAATATAAACCTTGAAAAATAAAAATTGCATTTAAACAAAAAAAATAATCATAACCAAACTCTAGTGATTGATTCATTGCGATGTTAATAATTAGACAATAAAGGATTTTAGCATTATTTTTTTTTCTTTATTTTCTATTTTCATCATCTTTAAACCTTACAAAAATTGTACCTAAACCTGTCTTATGTAATATTTAAAAGTCATTCTACATACCAATATTGACCATCTTATGGTGTTTTAACTCAGACACTAAAGTGCGTTGTTATTTTATTAATAATATTGTTGCATATTAATCATTATTACATGCAATTAACAAAAATCGAAATCAATATTGTCTGTGTGTTTTAAACTTAGGCACTAAAGACAATTTGAATGTATTTGGATTTTTTTCTATGAAATGTATAATAAAAGAAGAAATATCAGTAATGGTTGTAATAGTTGAAGTAGTAATGAAAGAAATATTAATAATAGTTATTATAATTGTGGTTTTAATTTGCAGAAAGAAAAGTACCATACTATTATATATATACAGTACCTTAGCAAAAGTTTCAGTCATCCTAAATACATCATTTACGCAAAAACGTACATAATAACTGTACAAAAAAATTATATCACTTGCGGCATATATTCTGGAGATCCTGCATTTCTAGATTTTAAACAATAAAATAAAAATTCATGTTAAGTTTTTTTAATCATTGCTCTAAAGCTTACATGATAACCAGTGTTGTCAGCAGACACGGACATGGACACGGACTGTCCGGTCCGTGTTCGTATCCGTCACTTTAAATGTCCCGGGTCATTCTTGGACAAAAATATAAAATTTTGCCTACTACCTCTTTCTTAAAGCTTTGGTGAATTTGTAAACACTTTATGGTACAATCAACAAAGCAATAAAGCTCCTGTAGAGTTCCTTTTATTTGCTTTACTTTTACTTTCTTTGGCCAATTGAAGTCAGCTGTATGTTTGCAACAATTACTTTACAATAAATAAATCAATATGTGATAATGGCTTGTATAGGGTGGTCAATTAACAAAAAATTAAACAAACATTTACACTTAACAAAAACCAAAAAATTAAACCTTTGCTTTCTTACTAAAACAAATATCTAAAAAAAAAATCTTTGCTTTAACCACTCTGATAACCAAATGGAGGTTAAACCCTACTGTTTAATTTCCGACCATAAAAGTGTTTATTAAACAAAAAAAGAATTAATTTGTTTAAATTATGAAAATGTTTATTACAAATAAATTATTTGTAAAAAAATAATTTTATATTAACTTTCTGCCTCTACCCTAAAGCAAGGCTCTGGATTATTAATATAGAATCATTTAATTAATTAAATGCCGAATTATTTGATCCTTTTTGTTTGGAAACCATTTTTTCTTCCTTTCCTCCTCTCCTAATTTTTCAACGCATGTTTACAAAACGTTTTTGAATTGCTTTGGTTTTTGTCCAAGAATGGTCCGGGACATTTAAAGTGACGGACACAGACACGGACAGTCCGTGTCCATGTCCATGTCCGCGTCCGCTGATAACACTGTTAATATTAATATCATACATGACATTTAATAAATTTAAATTTTTGTCCTTCAATTTTATTATAATTTTGATCTTTTAAATCGGAAATATCATTGAATGCATCACTAGAACTGGAAATTGCATCTTGATCATCATTCATCAAGTCACATGTATTATCTGTTTCAGTAGTGACTGGTGGGTTTCGCTTGATTTTGAATCATTATCCGAAATGTCTGGAAGAGTAAGTTTAGCTACAGTGATCCTTGGATTTTCATTTTGTAATCTATAACAATTAAGTCCAGTAATAGAACAATGTAAAGTTATGTTCAATAAAAATATATATTACCAAATTAAAAAAATATCTCCCATTTTTAAATACTAAAATTACCATCGTTATTTTGCAAATTTAGAATGAGTAATAGTTTTTTAGTAATAGTAATGATAATAGTGGAGCAACATTCCGCAAAGCGAGATGAAATATACAAATTTTAGAAAAGAATAAATCAATTTGTATTAAACCACCAACAAAAATCTTCTTGATAGTGGAAAAAGTTACACGTAAAAGTGGCATAAATAGTGGGGGATAAATCAGTTAAACCACTGGGATAAATACAAGTTTAAGCTCAAATTTACTTCGTAAAATTGAACTTATACCGTACTAACAAGGATTTAACTATTAATTATACTAGAGATAACATATAAAATTTTTAAAAGCACATTGTTATGTAACCTTTAGAGCAATTATTAAAGAAATTTTCGCATTGAATTGTTTTCAAAATAATCGAATTCCTTTATTTCTAATAGACAAAATTCTAGAAAATCTGGATGTATGAAGGTTTATATACACAATCTTCAGAAATTTCGTTACAAACCGGTATAATTTTTTGTATGATTATGTATATTTTTGTGTCTGAAAAAATTCCATGTAAATTTCAGAGACAAAAGTTTAGCAAAAAGATATGAATTGGCTTTACAGAAAATTGGCAATAGTATTTTCATGTCTATTTTTTTTATTAACAAAGTAATTTGATAACCTTTCAAAGGAATCTAAATTTATTTAATTATGTTATGTAATTGTTGAGATACGCAATTATGAAATATTGATTTCACAAATGTTAGACACTTTTCATGATTTTACGTTGGTTTCCTTGTTTTTTTAACTGTCTTACAAGAGCAAAGAAATACTTAATCTTTAATGTCAAATATTTAACATCTGTTTAATATTAATATTAGGTCAAACTTTTTAATTTAACCATAATGTAAGTCTTGATTACAATTTATGGTACAAAGTCTTGGTGTTAGAGAAGAGGAAAAAACTTAAATGATTGTGTGAATTTGTCTTGGATATATGATATATAGAATTATTATATTTAGAGGTTGCAAGACCTCCGTTTGATTTAGGACAGAATACAATAGAAGAAAGACTATAAGATTTCTATCAAGAGGTGCCAGAGGAATTATTGAAACAGTAAACAACTCATTTAGTAACATTGTCAGTGACAAAATTTCAGATCAAGAAAATATGGAAAAGTTGGTAAAAGAAAGTTTAAATAGCAATGGAAAAAATATTTATGAATTAGTGAAAAAATGGAAAAGTGAAAAAAAAAGTCCTCATAATGCGTCAATTTTCTATTAGCAATGTTGATACTCTAAAATTCAATCATTGATTTCAGAACGTAGAGTTAATTGTTTGATAGATGTTATCAAAAAATATAAAGATCCTACACAGAGTCATTTATTGGTAGAAAGTTACGAAGATGTCGGAATCCATCCATCCCAACAAAAAAACAGAAGTTGTATAATTAAAAATATCAATACATCACAATAATTGCTCGCGTAGGCTTTATTTAATATTGCAAAACTAATTATAAGATATTAATACATGTATATTTATAAACAAATAATTCCTCTATGATATATACATATATATAATTCGAATTAATTCAATAAAATACACTTCATATCTTACACAAAATTTAAAAATACTAATAATAGAAGCAGTGCACATGAACCTTTTTAAATTATACGTTAATGCTTATTTATTGTTATTTCACATAAATCAATAAATTAACAAGCTGTCTGTTTTAATAAATCATACCCACCCAATTCGAAAACAATCAATTCGCATGTTTTTTTTGATGACATACGTCAATTAATTACAGTCCTTCAACCAATAAAAAACGTAACCTTGGCTGATTGTTTTTTTAATCTAGGCTGTCTTGCATCAGCAATATATTATATACAAGTGCGACATAGTGATCTCACGGATTTATGATTTGCACTTCTGCTTACATCTCTCGTAAGACTAAATCTGCTTACGCTTTTCATAAGAGCCTAATTTGCTTGCACTTTTTCGGCAAATCCTTTTTGCTTATTTTTCCCGGTAAGTCTTTTCCCATATACCTTCGTAATACGTCTTTTAATATACGTTTTGCGAAGGGACTAATGATTAGAGTTGGCCAAACTGCTAATTACAATTTTAATTAGAGGTGGGTTTATGAGTTTGCTTCTTCAGCAACGAATTTCGTAAATAAGTTGGTTTTATATAAAAGATGTAATTGTTTTATTTCAGGCGGAAAAATATGTTTGATGCAAAAAAGTTAAGAATTTTATTAAGAGATAATTTTTATGAGAAGATTATTGTTATTAATTCAGAGGTTATTAACATGATGTCTTTAACTCAACTCTCGAAAATTATACATGTATTTATACCTTCGACAGTATTACGATAATATGACCTGCTAAAAATGTAAGGTGTAATTTTCTCTCCTTGCTTTTTCTTCAAAATACTTCTGATTGTGCTGTAATTTTTGGGTTCCATAGTAGACCTAATGTAAATTAACTTCATATTTACTATTTTTATCTAGAGATAATCCTACAAATATCATGATCATACATTACATTGATAATACAATTGTGATGTTAAATGAACATTATTGATCCCTGAAATTCTTGGTAATACCAATGTTCACTTTGTCTGGTTTTGTTGCTGTATGTCCATATATGTAATTAGACTTCTTGTGACATATTTTTCGACTATTAGAGCCTCCCATATAAAAGATTCAATATCTGCGAAATATGGTATTGAGATGAGACATATACT